AGGAGTCTATTTCCACACAGGACTTCACTACCCAGGGATAGCTTCTCAGCGTGGTTATCAGGTACCTAGATGCTGTCAAATACTGAGTCTTTCTTCTTCCCCAAGGGGCTGAAATTATGTACCCAGGAAAGTACTCCAGTTCCAGTATCGTGGACATGAAGTTTCAAGCAGAGAGGGTAACTCTCTGCTTTCAGGAGAATGGAAATGTCCCGTTACAGCTCCGTGTATAAGGTATAGGGAGGGGAATTCAGACTGCCATCAATATTGGTTTGGTCCACAACACATCCCCCAAATCCCCTCAGCATACTGCCTGCCCTTTTTCATACACTGCCCGTCCCTCTACTCTCTCCAGACCTCATGGTGCAAGCCACAAAATTCCTAATTCTGTAAATATGGAGGTATGAGGAGAGAGAGGTAAAAATTTACAAATTTTGTCTTCCATTACCCATAGTCAAAGTAATTTTAAAAAATATTTGTATTCAAATGGACTGTTTTCAAAAGACATTGATTCATATGTTAAGTAATGTGGACTTAATTTTGAAGTGGAAAAACTAAACAAAGGACAAAAAACTGTATGGAATTAAAGCAAGCATTTTTTTATATCAACATACAGTATATTTCCATTGGTAAATGTGTTCAGGGCAGTTTTGTTTACACAAACAAAATATGCATATCTACCTCGATCATCAGCTGGAGTCAGACTGATGAAGCTTCTACATTTCTCACCTAAAAAAAAAAAATTGAAATTTATTTTAAAATAATATTCAGGATTTTTTTTGTATTCTGTAATGATCTAAAGAAGTAGATTAATGGAAAGCTGAAAATGCAAAATCTATCATAAAAGCACAAACTGAGATGACCAGAAGAAACTATTTCTAATGTATGTTTGTACGCACAGCGTCCATGGTACATCGACCTATTCCTGGGACTTAGCTAGAGAATCCTTACAGAATTTTTCAAGGCAGAACCAGAATCTGAGAGACTTAGAGAAAAGTTATGAATTGATTTCCAGAATGTTGTAGCTGTGAAAGCCAGAATTCCTTTGAAACACTGGCAGCCTGCATCTTCCCTGTGAAGGAAGATCTGCTCTCCTTACAGCAACAAGGCTGCAGCTCACACAAATTTATTCTAAGCTTGATTCCAGTTTCTTTCTACAAGGTTTTATTTTTGAACACGTGACCTCCTGACCTGCACACAGATGCTGTGAACAAAGCTCTTGGAATGAATTCTGCTCTGCTCTGAAAATACAGGGTCAGTTTTTTCAGATACTAACTGCACCAAGTTGGAAAACAAGAACTGCCATAGCAAATGCACAAATTAAACAACCCCAGTATCCAGAGAAATCACCTTCTGGAGATATATTTTACCCTGATCTTCAACATTTACCTCCTTAAAATTGCATAACTTACAAGACCTTCTCATAGAACACGTCTATCAGGACAGGTGACTGCAAAAAATATTTGCATTTTACAGCACAGATGACAGCTGATCTCCGAAGTTTTGTTCTAGCTGTCGTTAGTAACTAATTAGGACAGTAAGGGGAAAAACTTAGTGTTGATCTGGATTTACAATAAATTCCCTATTTCTTGAACCAGATAAGCAATTTCCTTATACAAAGATACAAATTTAATTAGAAGCTTTCTTTAATGGCAAGCTAATTTCATTCTACTGACATTTACATACGCAGAGTGAAACTCAATTAAATGCCACCATTCACGACTAGTAATTCTCCAAGTTATGTTTCAGCAGGGCAAAAATAATCTTCTGCTTTGATTGATGAAAGGTGAGATCACAGTAAGAAAGTAGCAATACCTGTATGTAAGAGGAAATCCATGAAATAACTTAGATCTCTCAGATTTAAATGCTCAAATGATTTTCAAAACAACAACAAAAAAAATCCCACTGTGCTTTTCTGTGTTGTCATAGGGGATCGTAAGCAATCATTTAAGGCAAATATGTTCATTTTTGCCTATGGGACTAAAAACATCAGAAAAATAAAACACTTTCCTGTTAAAGTAACTTGACTTAATGTTCTGGTTAGAAAAATAATTTTAAAATCTTCATCTGTACTTCAAGCTGTCACTATACAGTTCTTTGCAGAATTTATTAGGAATTTTTTAGGAATTGACTAAATAGTACCCTCTAAGATCCCCTATCCCAGAGAAGAACAACTTTTTAACGATACTTTTTCCTTTAAAATGCATACACAGTATTGCAGCAAAGCGGAAGGTGACACCAAATAAGTAGGAAGAACTTTGATTACTTTCTTAAGTAAATTTACATGGTTTTACTCACCTTCTTCATTTATAATTTCTTCACACGAATACCAAATCCCGGCATGAAACTTGCGGTCAACAAACTTGTCATCTCCTGTCTCCCAAATATATTGCACAGCATTGCTGTTGTTGGCATCAGGGCTGTTAAAGCGGATACAGTGATCCCCTTTGCTCTGTTCTGTACAGAAAGGTTTGGCAACTTTTCTTGTCCCTTCACACCAGTAACTGCTACTAAATGCTGTAATAGAGAAGACTAAAGAGAGAAAACTGAGAGAAAATGCTGCTGAGGCTCTCTGCCGTCTGTCTGCAGCTGGGACTGAAACTGGCATCCTCCAGGACTGCTCTATCAGTTATTCTAGAAGCAACCTTTACAAAGCTATATATATATATATATATCTGCCCAGTGAAACACCTGTCTGGATTTACCATCCCATTCTTCATTCCTCTCAGAAAATTGTACCAGCTTAGTAGTTAAGACAGAAAGCAGAGATACGGGCATGACCAGAAATCACGTGGCAGGAGAGATTAAGGATGTAGGACAG